GTTTTTCGAGACAGGGTTTCTCTGTGGAGCCCTGGCTGTCCTGGAACTCACTCTGTAGACCAGGCTGGCCTCAAACTCAGAAATCCGCCTGCCTCTGCCTCCCAAGTGCTGGGATTAAAGGCATGCACCACCACTGCCCGGCTAATGAAATCTTTAAAAATAAGAATAAACATGAAATAAAATCAGTTTTTCCTGCTGCTTTTTCAGAGGACCCAATTTCATTCCCAGAACCCATACAAAGGGTAGCAGCTATCTGTATGTATAACTCTGGTTTCAGGGGATCTGATGATGGCCTTTTCTATGTGTGCTAGGCATGCACATGGCATACATGCATCATGTAAGCAAAAACTTATACACAAAAAAATTTAAGATTGAATTTTTATGTATATGTGGGGTGCATGTATAAAATACAGGTACCTGTGGGATACAGACTCTACAGGCTCCTTATTTTTGCTTTTTAATGCATCTTCAAGATGGGTAAGATGGCTCAGTGAAGGGTCTTATAAACCTAGTCTCCTAAAAGGTAGAAGGAGAGAACCAGCTTTTAAGTGGTACTGCAACATGTACATCTCACACATTTGCACACACAGACATCCCCGCACAATAAAATTAAATGTTACAAATGCGTAGGCCCAGTGATGTGGCTCTGGATGAAGGTGCTTGCTGTCAAGCCTGGTGACTCGGTTCAACATCTAGGTCCTTGGGGTGGGGGGAGGGACCAACACCTGCTGCCTGTCCTCTGACCTCAACATAATGGAACTTGTGCCTGCCGACAATAGTTTAATTTTTAAAAAAGATTTAATTATACAAGTACACCATAGCTGTCTTCAGACACACCAGAAGAGGGCATCGGATTCCATTTCAGATGGTTGTGAGCCACCATGTTGCTGGGAATTGAACTCAGGACCTCTGGAAGTGCAGTCAGTGCTCTTAACCACTGAGCCATCTCTCCAGCCCTTGGTATTTCAATAAATAGATTAATTAATTAAATTAACTAAAAGGTTAACCTAAAGGGGCTTTCTAAAGAAGATCTCTACAAAACTATTGGCTTCAGCAGCCAGCACTCTGAAGATTTACTGTAGGCTGAGCCTCTACTGGGGAGCAGGTAATGCCCTCACAGCAGTTTCTCCACTCCCATCCCGAAATTTGAGACCCCAAAGGTCTCAAAGAGACTAACTGCTGAAGTGCATTGACTCCCAAGCCACTATTTTCTGAATTCCTTTGGTTAATTAAAAGATTCAGTCATTGGTTGTGAAGCTTTGTTCTTCATACCTCACTTTCCCTCACACACTCCTCACCAGCAGTTCCTGGTACCAAGTTCAAATGTAGCAAAAAATTGAGTCAGGGTCTCATGTGGTCCAGGCCAGCTAGCCTCAAACTCACTGTAGCCGAGCATGATTTTGAATGAACTTCTGATCTCCCTGCCATAGCCACATAATTGCTTGGGTTAGAAGAGTATACTGCCATGTTTCCAGTGTTTTTAACAGTGCTATGCAACCTATTCCAGATGTAGTGACAGCTACTATCAACCAAAAGCATGAGTCAGCTTGTTTGCATGTGTCCACCTGTGCTTCGAGCTCTTCTTGACCTGGTATTTTAAATGTTTCCAAAGTTACAGAGGGATTACATTCACACCCAGGCATACTGAGATTAGGCCCCCTGGGAGAGTCAGGGGTAGATAGACATTGCAAGCAGCTAGAAGCTCTTTCTTTGTTCCCAGGCAGCAATGATTCCTAGGCCACAGTGTATTGAAATGTGAATGAAGGTTCCATAAAACTCTGCTTTCCTGTTTCAGTATGATCCCTATCTGTGCCTGACATCCTCAGGGTAAACTTCATACAGAATGCAGACTTATCTGGTAACCTCCTGAGACTTCAAGACAATTTTTGTTTTTGTTTGTTTGAGACAGTGTTTCTGTGTATATAGCTTTGACCATCCTGGAACTTACCAGGATAACCTCTCGAACTCAGGGATCCCCCTGCTTCTTAAGTGCTGGGATTAAAGCCTCCACTGCCCAGCTAGCTTCTGCTAATCCTTAGGGGGCAAAAAGATGAACTGGTTAATAAAGACAGCTGATGCCAGGCCATGGTGGCATACACCTTTAATCCCAGCACTTGGGAGGCAGAGGGAGGTGGATTTCTGAGTTGGCCAGCCTGGTCTACAGAGTGAGTTCCAGGACAGCCAGGGCTACACAGAGAAACTGTCTCTGTATGAAAAAATGAAAAAGACAGCTGATGTGCACGTATGTACACATGTGCACACATGTACACACACACACACATGCATGCATAAATACACATGCACTCACAGTTTTGTTATATAGCTCAGTCTGGCCTCACAATCTTTCTGCAGGCTCCTGAGTGAGCTGAGATGATGGGCAGGCACTGTTACCATCTGCTACTCAAGCTCTTTTACCTCTCAAACTCGTAACACCCCTTGCTTTAGCTCTCAAGTACCAGAACTATATATACGCAGGAGTACAACTAGCTGGTAGAAATTGGAGCTCATGTAATGAATGTTGAAGTTAGTTAGTTGCATTTCCTTAACTGGAATTTTGAGCTGTTTGTATAACTCAACTTTTTTTTTTTTTGGTTTTTTCGAGACAGGGTTTCTCTGTGTAACCCTGGCTGTCCTGGAACTCACTGTAGACCAGACTGGCCTCGAACTCAGAAATCCACCTGCCTCTGCCTCCCAAGTGCTGGGATTAAAGGCGTGCGCCACCACCGCCCGGCATAACTCAACTTTTGGTTGTATTAGATCAGTGTTCTAAACCTTCCTACTGCAGTGACTCTTTAGTCTACAATGTAGATATTTTTGGAGATAGGTTTGCCAAAGGGGTCATGACCCACAGGTTGAGAGCTGCTGGCTGTATCCCCCCTCCTCTACATAATGGCCAGACAAGAAACAGGGATCTGTTTCTCATTCTATCTTCAGTGTATACAAATAAAATATAAGTGCGCTTTTAAGAATTCACTGCAAAAGTAAGGCTTATTCAAGTTCTCAGTGCTCAATTAGTCTCCTCTTTGCAGGTAGGGTGGAAGACGACCCAGGAGTATTACACCTTCATGTGGGCTCCCTTGCCCAAAGACCTGAACAAAGGATCAGCCACACAGCAGGAAATCCAATTCAAAGGTAGGAAAATACTAAGTCAAAGACCCTGAGAACTCTGTCCATGACTGGGACCGTTTTTTTTTTGTTTTGTTTTATATGGGGTAGCTCATTAAAACATGTTCTGCTTTCAGCTTATTATCTGCCCAAGGACATGGAGCATTACCAGTTCTGCTATGTGGATGAAGATGGTTTGGTCCAGGGAGCAAGCATCCCTTTCCAGTTCCATCCAGACCCTGACGAGGACATAATGATTGTTATCAATAAGGTCTGTTAACTGTCTCCCCTTGAGCCTTCCTTCCCAGGTTAGGGTGAACTTTAAGTCAGGCTTTGAAGTGGCTATGAGTGTTGGAGAAATCCTATGGTGCCACTTGAACACACTTCTGGAATAACTTAGAGATGCTTTTTAAAAAATCAAACAATTGATGATTTCTCCCTTCAATCCTTTTAAAGAGAGAACTTCCCACTGGCCCAGGTAGGCATAGAATTCAGGGAAGTCCTCCTGCCTCTGGAGTTCTAAGATCCCAGTAGTTCTAAGATCACAGTTCCACTGTGCTCGGGTCCCTCATCTTACGGTTTGCTCATCTTAAAGTTTGCTCATCTTTCTCTGGTGAAGGCAACCTCAATGCTTGACTTTGTGGCATTGCCTGTGCACTTCATAACTACTCTCTCCAGCAGATGCCAGCATCACTGAGTGGGAATCACACTTTGATTGTGAGAAGGACTTTAAAGCTACCTGCCTTCTCTTGCAGGAAAAGATGGAAGAGATGGAACAGCTCAGTGAGGAGCTTTACCAAGAAAACCAGGAGCTGAAAGACAAGTATGCTGACCTCCATGAGCAGCTCCAGAGGAAGCAGGTACAGATGCTGGCCCGATGAACCTGCAGTCTCTGGCTTGAGATTTATCATCTCTCCTTTAACACACACCAGTGGTTCTCAACCTTCCTAACACTGGAATAAAGTTCTTCATGTTGTGGTGACCTCTAACCATGAAATTTTCGTTGCTACTTCATAACTACTGTTGCTACTGGTGTGAATCATAATGTAAATATCTTTTTTGGAGATGCAATAGAGGTTTGCCCAAAGGGTTTGCAGCTCAGGTTGAATAGTTAGCTGCTTTATGTTTCTGAGACCTTTATATTTCTGTGTAGCCTTGCCTGTCCTGGAACTCTGTAGACCAGGCTGGCCTGAATCTCAAGAGATTTGCCTGCCTCTATCCCTGGTATCCTGGGACTGAAGGCATGTGCCACCACCTGGCATGATATCCAATAATTAAAATTACATGTAGCTCTTATCAATTTATGTGGCAATAGTAAACAGTGACTTAGCTTCTATCCACTGGAAAGTGTTAGGTCTGGTATGTCCCAGGCACTCATTTGTCTCATTTTTAAAAAAAAATGGATTAATGGGTAAATGCTCTGGTAATGTTGACATTAACATAGATGTAGTTTTTTTTTAATGTGGCTGTTTGACCTTGAACTCAAGGTATCTCTGCCTCAGTTTCTCAAATGCTGGGATTACAGGCATTTAGCACGACAGACCACACCCAGGGTCAAGCTTGTTTTTTGAACAAGGGTCTCACAATGGAGCCCTGACTGGTGTGGAGCTTGCTGTGTAAATTATGATGGACTTGTTGCCTCTCAGACTGTTAGGATTAAAGCTGTTAGTCACCACACCTAACTGGAGTTAGATGCACTAAAAAAAAAACTTAGCTGAATGTGGTGGCAGACTCTTCAATCCCAGCACTTGGAAGGCAGAGGCAGGTATGGTAGATCTGTGAGTTTGAGGTCAAGCCTCTTTTTCATAGTGAAAAGCCTGTCTGTCTCAAATTATGCGTACATGTTTGCCTGCTTGTATGTACATTTGATTTGCAAAGAGGCAAGTAGGAGTCTGGACACTGGGAACTGGAAGCAGATCCTGCAAAGGCATCTGCTTTCTCTAGTCCTTGGATGCCTTTTAAGAACAGACTGGGGCTATGTAATATATAGGTCACCTGGCGCATGGGAGGCCCCACAGAGACAACACGGAAAGAGTGTAACTCAGTGTTCAATTGCTTGAAGAAGCTTGAGGGGTATGTCTCATGAATACACCACAGTACTCAATAAATGTTTTTTCTCTTTAGCTAGATAACATACTAAAACTCATCTTTAAGTGATATGGGAAGATGACTCAGCAGTTAAAATCACTAACTATTCTTCCAAAAGTTGAGTTCAATTCTCAGCAACCACATGGTGGCTCACCATCTGCAATAGGATCTGATGCCCTCTTCTGTGTCTGAAGACAGCTACAGTGTATTCATATAAATAAAATAAAATAATCTGTCTCTCATTCCAGGTGGCACTGGAGGCAACACAGAAGATAAATAAGAACTTAGAACAGGAAGTGGAAGAGAAGGCCTCTTGGGAGGAGGAGAAGGCCTCTTGGGAGGAAGAGAAGGCCTCTTGGGAAGAAGAGAAGGCCTCTTGGGAGGAAGAGAAGGCCTCTTGGGAGGAGGAGAAGGCCTCTTGGGAGGAGGAGAAGACATCTTGGGAGGAGAAAAAGGCCTCCTGGGAGGAAGAGAAGACATCTTGGGAAGAGAAGGCCTCTTGGGAGGAGGAGAAGGCCTCCTGGGAGGAAGAGAAGGCCTCCTGGGAGGAAGAGAAGGCCTCCTGGGAGGAAGAGAAGGCCTCCTGGGAGGAATTGAAGGCCTCCAGGGAGGAAGAGAAGACATCCTGGGAAGAGGAGAAGGCCTCTTGGGAGGAAGAGAAGGCCTCTTGGGAGGAAGAGAAGGCTTCCTGGGAGGAATTGAAGGCCTCCTGGGAGGAAGAGAAGGACTCTCGAGAGAGTGAGCTGCTCCAGTGAGTATGGGAGGGGCTGCTGTGAGTGAACACTGCCTGTTACTGCATGGTATGATTGATATCCCAGACTATGGATCAGAAGTTTATAAAGCCATCCTCACCTATATAGCCTGTATAGCAGATGCCTCTCTTAAAATAAATAAATAAATAAATAAATAAATAAATAAATAAATGTTTATAGGTAATTAACTGTAGGTTTAGGACTTAGGTCCTGGGGCAATTGATCTGGAATCAATAGTCATTTCTACTTTCTAGCCTGAAAGAATACAACCAGAAGATAACCTCAGAAAAGGAGGACTTGGGGATTCAACTAAAAGAGCTTCAGGTAGGTGATTCTTGGTGCTTTTGCCAAAGAGCATGTTCTCAGCTTTCCCAAATATCCAACACTGGAAGGAATAGTTGACTACAGGGTAAGAATCCATCCTGGTGGAAAGGGAGAGGCGGAGTGAGCTTCTCAACAGCACAGCCTTTCTTATGTATTCTACCTGGGCCTGCCAAGGGAGGACTTTTTTCCCCCCTTTATTGTCCTCAGAAATGGCTGCAAGGGGACAGAGAAGGTTTGGAGGTGATCTGTATTCAATCCTGTGATCCCATTCCTTCATGTTACAAAGAATGGTCTACAAGGAAATTATTGTGAACTTATGTATATCATGAGTTAACCTTAAGGATGGCAGTCACTGATTAGAATAATCATTGTGTTTGGGTTTTTTTTGTTGTTGTTTTTCAAGACAGGGCTTCTGTGTAGTTCTGGCTGTCTGTAGTTCTGGGATCCTTTGCAGACTTTTGGAAAAAGTGAGAGAAGCAAGCATGGTGGCCCTTAGGTCACCCCCCCCCACACACACACCACTGGTGTTCGGCTGCTCTGGGACTAGAACCTGGATCATAAGCTGTCAGTGTCTGTAACCTTTACAAGCTGCGGCATCTGCTTGTCCTGAAGGCTGACTGAAACAAGGAGCAATAATGACAGGGTCCTCTGTTTTTTGTGTTTTGTTTTTTGTTTGTTTGTTTTTTCGAGACAGGGTTTCTCTGTATAGCCCTGGCTGTCCTGGAACTCACTCTGTAGACCAGGCTGGCCTCGAACTCACAAATCTGCCTACCTCTGCCTCCCAAGTACTAGGATTAATGGTGTGTGCCACCACCGCCCGGCTAGAAGAATTTTTTAAGTAAAGTCTTACTCAGAAGTCTATTTTAAAGCAGAACTAGTATTTAGGGAGAAAGACAAACATTTAAGAAAAGTGCTGGGCTCGGGAGATGGCTCAGAAGTTAAGAGCACTGTCTGCTCTTCCAGAGGTCCTGAGTTCAATTCCCAGCAACCACATGGGAGCTCACAACCATCTGTAATGGGATCTGGTGCCCCCTCCTGGCCTGCAGGTATATGTGCAGGCAGAACATTGTATACATAAAAAATAAATAAATAAATAAAAAAAAAAAGAAAAGTGCTTGACTGTTGCTCATTGAGGAGAGTACTGAGAGCTCGTTGCAGGTGGGAGTTGCTAGGGCAACACCTTCCATCCTTACCTTAGAATCTAATCACGGTCCTAGTTTTCCTTTGTCTTCATGTTGAATTCTCTGGATTTAGACCCACCTGGCAACTAAAGAAAAAGACATGGAGGAGCTGATGGTGAGAGATCAAGAAAAGACAGAGCAGCTGGAAAAGCTCAAGAGAGAAAACAGCCTGCTCTCCACCAGCTTAACTGAACAGGTAAACTCAGAAAAACATTTCCAAGACAATGCACTGGGCTTTGTTTGGGTCTGGGAAAAGTTTCAGCAGAAACATTTACTAACTCTGCTACTTTCTGAGATACCGCTGGATAGCCTGGAATCCAGTTGTTTTTTCTCTCCCATCTATCTCTTTCTTTACTTTAAAGGCGCGCAACACTACAGCTCGCTCAAAGAAGCAGTGTTATATGAGGTTGTGCATGTCATGATTTTTTTATTCTACTAAGACTTAACCTTTTTACGTCTGCCTGCTCACGAGTTCAGCAAGTGTGTGTGTCTGTGTCTGTGTGTTTGAGTGTGTCTGTGTGTGTGCATTGCGGTGTCTGTGTCACAGTGGTGGTACTAAAGTCTGTTTCTATGCAGAAGACTCAATGGAAGGCACTTGAACAGACAGTGGAAATGTTGCAGGAGAAGAAAAGTGCAGTGAAGAAGAAGTACCATGAGCTAAAGGCACGTTGACTGTTTTTGCATGGCTATGCGAGTGGGAGGCTAAGAGGAAAGACAGAGGGGTCTGTCTCCAGGAGACAAAAGATTTTAGAATGGTTGTCACCTCAGTGTTTCATTTACTTTCTATCTAAAATGACATTGAATCTGCCATTTAAAATGTTTCAGAGGCCGATGTGTATGGTGAATGATCAAGGAGTACTGAAAATTAAATATCAGGAGAGACGGTAGTGGATAAGTCCTTTGGGTTAAGGAGCCATACAAAACAATCCGCTCACTCCAGTTATGTGGAAAACAATAACTATAAAGCGTCACACAACAGGAAATTAGAACACCCAAAGCCAATTTTCTTATAATTAATGTTAGCAATTATTAATAGAAAATCATTCTGAGAGGTAATTATGCAGCAATGCAACCCTAATTAAATAGTACTAACTTCCTGTTTATAACTGGCTGGGAAAGAGGCCTCATGACGCTGACAGGTAATGAAACCCAGCATGGGAAACCCTGACGATTCTCAGGTCTGAAGTTGTCTGACAGTCTCATTGTAGCTGGTTACCCTTGGTCATCCTATTTGGTAAGTTTTTGAGAACTGACTGTATAAAAGATACTGCATTTACAACTGCTCCTTACTGTCTCAGCTAGGTAGACAGTGGAGGCAAGAGAAGTAGGAGTTGAAGGTCCTCCTTACCTGCATACTGAGTTTCAAGTCAGCCCACACTAATATATATACACATACGTACATACATACATATATGTATATGTATATATACACACACACACAAGCATGAAGGGTGAAGAGCAGACAGGGTCTGCAAATGGACAGCTCTCAGGTTCCCATAGACAAGGCTTTGAGAAACTGAATTACTTACCAACCTTGACAATGGAGATTTTCCTACAACAGAGAATTTCTGAATTCTGAAATGGCACCACCTGGTCCCATTTAACCTACATTCCTGCACTCTACTGCACCATCAGGGAATTGGTGGTTAGATGGGTTCACTGGCAATGAGGATTGAGCCCGGGGCATGTGCTAAGCATGTGCTTCTCTTTCACTGAGCTACTACCCCAGGACTTCTGCCCCATTCACCTTCATTCAAACCACGCGTTTACTGCCTTGCTCTGCATATGAGTCTTCAGTATTGAAGTAGGAGAAACTTTGTGGTTAGTCTAGCTTTCCTTGGAATTTTTCAAAACCCAAGGACTTGCGGGGAGGGCTTGGTGCTGGGAATTGGACTCAGGACCTTGCACATACATTCATTCCCTTGTACATATAATAAATCTTTATTTCTCATGCAAAAGCCTTCTAACTGCAAGGACTGTATTTTATACTTCAGGAGCCTAAGAACAAGTCAACAGCAACGGAGGAGGAGTTAGCAAGAGAGGTGGATCGCCTCAAGGCGAAGGTAGAGGCTGGGAGAGCCTGTTACATAGAGAAGTACAAAGAGTGTCAGCGACTGCACAAACAGATCAGGCAACTCAGGGCCTCTACAATGGTAGGTGGCAGAGTTAGGGGCCCAGGGAAGTAAGGGATTTGAAAGTGAGGGTTTTTAGGCTAGCCCAGAAGATATATATACCATTACTTTTTGTTCTGTAAAGAGAGGGGTGGAGTTAAGAAGCCAGAAGCCAACCTGGGCATGGGGAAAGTCCCTGGGATCTGAGGCCCAGCCCACCCACCATCCCAGGGATAAATGTTTCGTAATGATTCAGGAGGTTCGGTGCAGACTCAGTCCTTTCTTATTTCTGCCTTTTGAGGAAGCGAAGCAGGATCAGAAGAGCCAGCAGGAGCCAGTGGGGATGGGGAGCGACCAGCCTGACACCAGCACTGTCATCGGGTAGCCCCCTCTCGATTTACCTCAGGGTCGGCTAGAAGCGCACAGCAGTTTGGGCACCAGCATTCAAATAAAAAAAAATTGTGCAACCAAAACCACAACTAGTAGGATTAGCTAAAGTGTGTTTGTGAGATGTATGCACATGTATGTGTACAAACACGGGGTCTGTACAGAAGCATGAAGTTAAGTCACCCCATCTTTCTGGGAGGCTTAAGAGCCTAGGCTGTTTTCTCTGTGGAACCTGAGACAGTATACCTGTGCTCATACTGGGAGAGTCTTCCCAAGCACTTAAAGCCTGAGCAGTAAGTACCTCAGGCCTCATGGAGCAAGGTGTTCACTCAGCTAATATGACGGCTGGGTAGGGTTACAGTTATCTGTGCCACTGATGTGAATTCATCTGCCTCTTGCCTCACCTCCTCTCTTTACTCTGCCAGTTAAATCAAACATCATGGCATCTCATTCATGCCTGGTCAGCCATTGGGTTGGCTAAGTCACTAGCACCCTCCCAGATTTCCCTTCTCCCCAGCCTCAGTCCTCCCTTTGGAAGCCAGTCTCCTACCTTGGGAGGCTACACTGCTGTCTTAGTTAAGGTTTTACTGCTGTGAAGTGAATTCATGACCTTGCCTTTAAAAATTTCTTTGTAGGCCAGGAGGTGGTGCTTTAATCCCAGCACTTGGGAGGCAGAGACAGACAGGTTTGTGAGTTCGAGGCCAGCCTGGTCTACAGAGTGAGTTCCAGGACAGCCAGGGCTGCACAGAGAAACCCTGTCAAAAAAAAAAATCAACCATGACCTCTTATAAGGATGACAATTAATTGGGGTTGGATTACAGGTTCTGAGGTTCAGTCCATTACCCTCAAGATGGGAACATGGCATTATCCAGGCAGAGACATAGGGCTGGAAGAGCTGAGAGTTATACTTGTTCCAAGGCAACTAGCTGAAGACTGACTTTCAGGCAGCTAGAACAAAGGTATTAAGGCCTACACCCATAGTGACACATCTACTTCAAGGACACACCTAATAGTGCCACTCTCTGGGCCAAGCACATACAAACCCTCACAACTGCATTACAAGATTCTTATGTCTTTATTGTTGACAGGACAAGAATGCTACCCTATTAGGACAGCTCAGCACCTTCAAGACCGATAACAATGTGTTGAACAAAGAAAACGAGAGACTAAACTCCAAAATTGCTGTAAGTGTGGAAGGAGGAAGGAAATCCTGAGATTTCAGAGGGAAGGGCTGGCTGGGCATAGTGAACCTGGGGTAAGGCACAAACAGCTCAAGTTTGAGACCATCCCAGGCTACAGCATAAGTCTCAAAAGAGATTTAGAGAGAACATCTTGTATGGATGGATGCATCATTTGTCAATTAAAAAGCCTCTGGCCTATGGTTTAGGCAGGAAATAGAAGGTAGGATATCCAGAAGGAGAAAATTCTGGGACAGAGCCAGGTACATGGTAACCTGAGCCCGTTCCCAGCCATGTGGCAGGATGTTAAAATAAATGGGTTCTCTGAAGTTATTGTAGTCAGAGACAGCCACGATATTTAAATATATTGAGTCTGACTCTCAAGAACCAAAGGCCTCTACAACTAGAGACTAGAGTTGCACAGGTTAGCTCAAAGGTATGATAGTAAAGTAGGAAGTTGAAGGGAATTTACCCAGTGAAGCAAAGATTAATCATGTTTTCTGTAACGGCCGTTTCTTTTGTAACGGCCGTCGGGTTCTGCTACTTTGTAAAGGCCGGCCGGTTCTGCTGCTCCGGTACGCAGGTCAGGGTCTAGCAAGAGAGAGAGTGGGGACGGAGGAAGGGGAAAAAGGGGGCGAGAGACGCAAAAGATAGATACAAGACAGAGTCCGGTGGCGTCTCTTCAAGTCTCTTCTTTATTCTCCTCTCTTCTTACTATATTCTCACTCCTTCAGTCTCCTGACACCTCTCACTTTCTCACTCCTTCCTCTACTTCCTACTTCCTACTACCTCCTACTACTTACTACCTCCTACTTTCTACCTCCTCAATAGAAAGGAAATCCGGGTATTTATACCCTTTACCACGTGACTTGCCCTCGTGGACAATCTCAACTGAAGCCACTACGTCACGTGCCTTGTAGCCATGGATACCAGGAGCACCTGGCAGCTGGGGGCACTAAACAGTGTAACAAGATGTTTATCAGAGTGCGCTCAGCTATTGCAGGCTGTTGAAACAAGTCTCTTGTCAGGGTATATGACTCAAGATGGCTGTAAAGATGATAGCCACTTTCGGCTAAGAGTCGGCTCCCAACAGTTTTCTTATTACAAAATCCTGGGATCTGGCTTTTCTAAGACAGTATCACAAGTAAGTATCACACGTAACCCAGACTGGCCTCAAACTTTAAGCAGAGAATGGCCTTCACTTCCAGAGCCTGTGGGGTCCATTTCCCTTGTATTGAGGTCAGTCATCCACTACCATGCCTCATGTATGTGGTGCTGGGGTCTGACTGAATCCAGGGAGTTTGTGCATCCTGGGCAAGCAGTTGGCCAGCCTAGTTTTTGTCTTTTTGGATATTTTATAGTCCAGCCTGTCTAGAAACAATCCTGTCTCTGCCTCCCCACACTGGGATTATAAGCATTACTTACTGTACTGTGTTCAGTACATTTTCCTCTCTCTTTTTGTACTTAGCTTGACAGTGTTCATCTCAGAAGCAACCCTAGTGGGCTAGCCAGTGCTAACCATTCACTCGGCCATCCAATATTTGTATGTCAGACACCAGCAGATAAAAAGGCCAGCATCAAAGAAATGTTTCTACTTCTAAATAGACAGCTCACTGGGCTGTCACTACCCTTTCTCTAAGCCTTTCAGGCTAAGCCCTAGCTTTTCATTTCTACTTAAAACAATGAAGACCCCACATAACGAAATACATTGCCTTAGGTTTTTCTTTGTTTGGTTTTTTGAGACAGTCTTTCTGTGTAGCTCCTGGAAGTTACTCTGTAGACCAGGCTAGCCTCCATCCAACACATGGAGGTTCACCTGGCTGCCTCCGAAGTGCTGGGATTAAAGGCTTGTACCACCATTAAAAGATGCTGGCAGTACAAACTCTTAACCCTTAATCCTTCTCCAGTCACAAGAACCAGGAATAAAGTCTATGGAGTTTTTCCTCCTACTTCGACATGGGTTTTGGGGATCCAACTCAGATTACCAAGCTAAAGACAGGCAAGGTTGGTGGCATATACCTTTATTCTCAGCACTAGGGAGGCAGATCTGAGTGGAAAGCCAGCAAGGTCAGGAAAGCCAGCACCAGGATAGCCAGAACTGTATAGAGACCCTGTCTTACATTGATACATACATGCAAACATACATGTAAACATACATACATGCAAACAAGCTCAGGGCTAGACTGAACTACCTGGCACCATCAAACAGTGGGTCACCAGCAACATGGCTCATCAGGTAAAAGGCATTTGTCATGTAAGCCTGGTGGCCTAGTTGGAGCCAATGTTAAGAGTCACTCCATGAAATTATCTCACAATAACAACGCCTCCCATCATGCCCAGAAAAAAAACCAAAAACATTAACATACAAATTCTAAATTCATAGCTAAATTCAGATACACTTCAACATAATTTGCCCTTAGCTTCTGATGAAGGAGAATGAAGCACTGCAGAGGTCCCTGGACAACAAAGATGTCTCTTCACCTCAAGGAGCTGCTAAGCCAGAGGTCCCTTCACCTCCAGAACCTGGTAAGCCTGAGGTCCCCTCACCTCCAGAAGCTGGTAAGGTCCCCCCACCTGGAATAGATGCTGACCTAGGCTGTTTTCAATTGATAAGACAATTTTCCTATCATAGTTGGAAAGTGTAGCCAGTGTTACCCACTCTGAAGGTTCTATGTTTCCCTTTCTACACCTTTTCTTCCACTCTTTCAAACCCCTAGACAGGAAAACAGGAAGGAGACCCCTAAATAAGGTCAGGGGTTGGAAAGGAGGTGATGGTATGCTGAGTAGGTACATTGAATTCTTGGAAAGTTTGAAGGTATCTGTTTTCTTATTTCTTACTTATTTGCATGTGACTATCAAATCATGACCAACAACAAGAATGGACAAAGCTTCACCGGACTAGGTGCCATTTCTGCACCCTCTGAACAATCCCATAAACTAGCTACAGCTGGCACAATCATGCCTCTGCTAGAGCACAAGGCAAATCATTGTTAATTGTTGAGAAACAGCCCCATAGCCTCATAGCCCCACAACTGGGATTAAAGGAAGACATTCTTACAATATTTCTGTTTTGGGAGTTTTGTTTTTAAGAAACCAACCATCTATAAAGAGATCTGATGCCCTCTACTGGCCTAAAGGCATACATGCAAGCAGAATGCTATATAAAAACTTTCAAAAAAAAAAAACAACTCAAATTGCCAATATATCTTTCCCTCATTGTGTGTGCGTGTTTGTGTGCTAGGAAGGTTCTGAGCGATGGGGGTGGGGGACCAGTGGAGGAGTTATGGATATCCCCAAAGCAGTCAGCTGGACGGATGAGACATGATTTAGGAGAACTTGTCTCCTGTTGGCACTGCAGTCATATCTGTATGTGTGTGTGTGTATGGATGTATGGATGGCATATCCAGGTGGTTGTTGGTGCTTCCCACTGCCCAGGCTGCTTGGGATCACAGTGACCACTGAGATGCCTTCCTGATTGAGCTGGGGAAAGGGCCGAGTAAAGTGCTTTGTGAGTGAGTTCTCAGAACCTGCCTAAAGCTGGATGCTATACACATCACAGTAATAATCCCAGTGTTCCTACCTTGAGATATGAGGCTAGCCTGGGCAAAGGAGACTATGCTTCAGACAAAGCAGACTAGGGCCTACACCTGAGATTGTCCTCTGTCCTCCCTGTATGTGCCATGGCCCAGTTTGGGGCTTGTAATCCACAATACATGTAAAGCAGCAGATTCTAACAACAACAAAAAGCCAGAGGATTGTTTGAGCACCCTCCAAATCAAATACAGCCAGGCATAGCAGCCTGCACATTTAATCCCAGCACTCAGGCAGACAAAACCTGCATAGTCAGAACAATGAAGGTCACAATGTATCTACTAGGAAACAGCTGGTGTTCAGGTTTGCTAGTTTTTTCATTAAGCGAAATCCTTTTTTATTCCCCTTAGGTCTCGAAGGAAGTTGTTTTTCTCCTTACAAGGTATGTATTTTTAGTTCATGAGATTGTTGCTCATTTATAAGGTCCCTGAGAAATCTCCATTCCTGTTCCAAATCATGGGAGAGATCAATTCATTTTGATAGCTACAGGGGTTATCTGGCACAATCTGTCCTGAGCCCTGGGGTGAGGTAGCCTGTTGAGGCGAAAAGGAAGCGGCTTTAAACCATCACTGCTCAAGGTCTCCACTCAGTGTCAGTAGATGGAGTGAGGCCTGGGAAGCCAACCAAACATGGCCTGCCTAGTGCCCCTTTCAGAGCTATATAGACTGTTTTGGCAATAGTAAGGCCTTTCAGTTCTGGAATGAGAGGAAGCCCCAGGGATCTTCTACATATATTCCTGTATCTTGTACCTTTCATGTGCTCCTTATGCCAGACACAATATGGTGGGCATGGTGTGATGCATGCATTTGTACTGACCTCCATTTTTCACTAGGACTCGTCACCAGACCGGGAGCAGAAGGAGCCCCAAGATTTCATCTGTTCACTTTGTACGAAGGTCTGCCCTGCAACAGAGAGATGGGACCCTGCCCTGCCTGAGGACCCCAACCTGTGAGTCTGCTGGGCCAGATTCAGTGTATAGAACATGGTTTCTACTGCAAATTATCCTATCAGAGAAGGCTGCCTAGCCAGAAATCATTAGGGGTTCACATAGAAATTCTGTAGGATGATAGTGAACATGCTGCGGCCACCTTGTCATAACTAGCCTCTCAGCCTGTCACCTCCAGTGCCCAGGATGAAGGTACCTGCTGATTCACAGAAGCTGGTTTTTAACACTTAAATCATTTTCTTCTGAGATGCCTACCGCATTCAGTCAGTCCTTGGGTACATATGTGGCCAGACCTCAGTGCTAACCTTGAGGGGAGCAAGCAAGAGGACCAATTTTTTTCATCTTCTTTGGCCCTATCTACAGTTAGAAAATCTCAGATCTGCTTTGCTGCGATCAAAGCTTTGTGCTATCCACACCTGGCTTTCCCAGGGAAAAATGGGGATGGGAGGACACAAGGCTTCTTGCAATTGACATTTTCTGTTCCTTTCTATACATGTATGGAGATTTTTTTTCTTACTCTGGCTAATCCAGAATTCACTGTGTAGCCCAGGTTGACCTGAAAATAGGCTGAGTTACCTTCCTAAGTGCTGAGACCAGTCCTGAGTCATTGCTTTGGTCTATAGATCTCTTAGTAAATTAGGAATTGTATGAACTAGGAATGTGTAGGCTTGTAGCTTTCTCTGCTACTAATTGAATTTGTATGAATGGAAGAATAATGGATCTATATAACCTTCCATATTAAAATTTTTCTCTTTTCAAGGACTTTGGTTTTGTTTCAAGAACATTTCTATGTAGCCCTGGCTGTTCTGGGCTTTCTCCCTTCCCGAGTGCTAGAATAAATTCCTGAGCCAGTGCTTATTGTTCTGTAAATAGTAAAGGTCTGGAGAGATGGCTCAGTGGTTAGGAGCCACTGCATGAATTGAGTTCTCAGAACCCATGTTGGCAGCTTATAACCAACTTCCTGGAGCTTTGGCCTTTCCTTTGCCTCTGACTTGTGTGCGCTTATGTCAACATAAGGCAGGCAAGGTGATACACCACTTCAGAGTAGAGCCAGGAGGCCAGTCAGAAAACCATTGCAAGACCTTGTCTAGAAATTTTACAATCCTCTCCTCTTGCCTCAGTTTCCCAAAGGCTAGGATTACTAACATGACCTCCGTGCCCAGCTAATACAGGAGTGTCTTCCTGACTTAAAGTGGTGGTGCCTTGATACAGAATTATTCTTCTGAGATAAAGGGAAGAGATGGCAAAGAGACGGAGCCCTGTGAAGATGGAGTTAAAGCAGTACGGGTGCCGGGAAGGGAGTCTGATGCTCTGGAAGAGCAGCAAGTGCTTGTATCTGCTGAGCCATGGCTCCAGCCCAAGTGTTGCTATTTTGCAGTTTTTCCAAACAGTCTTAATTATAACCCTGCCTGGTCTGGTATCCTGTCCTTGGACTATGAACTTGTGGCCCCACACCTAGAAGAACATTTTGCTTATTTCTATGTTGCTGGGATTTGAACTTAGGTCCTTGTATATTCTGGACAAGAGCATTGCCTGTGGCAGAAATTTCCCTCCCGCTACAATTGCCTCTTCTGTCAACACCAGATCTAAATGGGCCTTAAATCCACTCACCAAACAGGAGGTAACTTTGTGAGCCAGGAAGCAATGACACAAGTCAAGGGTGCTGCATCAGTCACTGCTGTGGCCAAACAAACACACTATTCATTTAATTAGGGGCTGGCTTACAGTTTCAGAGGACCAGTCCACAATCATCAAGGCAGAAAGCATGGTAGTAAGCAGTGAGAAGATATGAGGTGGGTGAGTTCCATCCTGAGTGTGGACAGGGGAGAGCCTGTGTGGTGGAGTGACCTGCAGCCTGGGGAAATTTCTCCTCCCAGAAGTTGCTATACCAGTTTGACCAGTGTAAACATCATTTCACTGAGTCAGTATTTTGCGTCTGACCTCAGGGTCTCATCATATGCATCTGTTCCCTGGAATGTCCTGTGGTTCTAAACTATGCAAATTCCCAGGACTTCAAGCTGACAAATTGCCTCCTAGCCTTTGTTACACCCTCCAGCTCCTGCCCATGCTAGTAATTGCTCTAAAATTACAACTGGCTGCACACTCCACTTAGACTTTCCTTCTAAAGCTCCTGAGCAGAGGTGAGCATGTTGGCTTCTGCTCAATTTAGTGATCACCTAGTCTTTAACCCTAGTCTCTTGTCCTCCCTATCTGTGCCCATGTAGCTCAGGACGGTCTTGAGCTCACTATGCAGCCAAGGGTGGCCTCCTGCTTCTATCTCCCAGGCTTGTACCATCATGCTTGGCTTGTGCTTTCTAATTATATGTCAATTTTCTGGGCCATACTAGTGGACTCAAAATACATTCTAAACCAACATTCTGTTTGCTGCCTGTAACTGACTCCTTCCCAACGGCAGCCTGAGGATCTCTGAAACCTCAATGAAAACAGATGAGGGAAAAGCTGAGCTTGACAGTGCCCATCGGTAATCCCAGCACTTGAGAAGCTAAGTCAGAGAGTCATAGGTTCAAGGCGATCCTAGGCTATAGCAAGATCCCTCACAAATTTAAGAATAAAATCACATTAAAAAGTGATTTTTAGGGCTGGAGAGATGGCTCAGCAGTTAAGAGCACTGACTGCTCTTCCAGAGGTCCTGAGTTCAAATCCCAGCAACCACATGGTGGCTTATAACCATCCGCAATGAGATTGGATGCCCTCTTCTGGTGTGTCTGAAGACAGCTACAGTGTACTCATCAAATAAATAAATTAAAAAAAAAAGTGATTTTTTAAAAAAGGCACTAGAGCCGGGCGGTGGTGGCGCACGCCTTTAATCCCAGCACTTGGGAGGCAGAGGCAGGCGGATTTCTGAGTTCGAGAGTTCGAGGCTAGCCTGGTCTACAGAGTGAGTTCCAGGACAGCCAGGGCTACACAGAGAAACCCTGTCTCGAAAAACCAAAAAAAAAAAAAAAAGGCACTAGAGAGATGCTTCAGAGATGAACTGCTCTCGCAGAGAACCTGAGTTCCTGATTCCCAGCATTTATGTCGATGGCTGACTCACAATTGCCTGTAACTCCGGCTGGGGTGGGGAGTGGAGTGGGATCTGACACCCTCTTCTGGCCTCCAAGGCATCTGTACACATGTGGTAGCTATAGCATAAATAAAATTTTATTTTGTGTATATGTATATCAAAGTAGAAAATTCTGGTTGTGTCTTGTGATGCAGACTCCTGGAGTTTTGCTGGAACAGATCCTTCAGAGGACCCGTGATGTTTGGAAAGCGTAAGTAGGACCCTGCAGGCAGTGTCAGCACACTTGCATAGCTAGCCTTGCCAAAACTTACATTGGTCTCTGATCTTTGCTTTGTCGAAAGAGGCATGGCAGAGAATGTCTCCTGGTATTCCAGCTAGTTCTGGTCACTCCTGCTGACCGGTGTCCATTTGGCAGAGGCCTGGCTGTTTGTGCTGCTCATTCATGTTTGGTGATACTTTTGAACTGGACTACTGGTTTTCTGACAATGAAGATTAGAATCTCCCCAAAGAACTCCTAGACAGGTCTCCATCTCCATTGTCCTATAACCCCTCTTTTCTTTCCTACTTTTGGATGCTGAGATAAAAAGGGGATGGAAGCATTTGAGAACCCTTATTAAAGTAGGTTTTGAAAACCCTAAGGTAGGGCTGGAGAGATGGCTCAGAGTTTGAGAGCACTGACTGTTCTTCCCTGAGTTCCCTGAGGTCCTGAGTTCAATTCCCAGCAACCACATGGTGGCTCACAACCATCTATAATGAGATCTGCTCCCCACTTCTTACATGCAGACATACATGCAAGCAGAACACTATGTATATACACTATGTATATAATCTTTTTTTTTTTTTTTAGGTTTTTCGAGACAGGGTTTCCCTGTGTAGTCCTGGCTGTCCTGGATCTCACTCTGTAGACCAGGCTAGCCTCAAACTAACAAATCCACCTGTCTCTGCCTCCCAAGTGCTGGGATTAAAGGCATGTGCCTCCACCGACCGACTAAATAAATCATTTTTTAAAACAAAAAGAAAACTCTAAGGCTACAGTGTATGTGCATGTGAGTGCAAGTACTCATGGAGGCCACAAGAGGGAGCATTAGATTTCCTAGAACTGGCAGACATGTTTGTGAGCCACCTGCCAATAAGAATCCAACTCAATACTCTGCAGGAACAGTTCATGCACTAAGCATAAACGTGTTTAACCATGAACAGTCTCTACAGGCACAGAATATAAAACAGATAAGCATATATTCTTCCCAAGATTGATACTTTTGCTCCCCACAATTAGCTAAGAAAAAACTGCTTACTAGTGTATGTGTGTGTGTGATTTGTTTCACTTTTGTTGTTATTGTTGTTTGAGATAGGGCTTCACTGTGCAGCCCTGGCTATCCTAGAACTTGCTCTGTAAACCAGGGTGGCCTTGAACTCAAATCCACCTGCCTCTGCCTCCTAATTGTTGACATTAAAGGCATACAACTTTAATCTCACATGGTAGCCCCAACTGGCTTGGAACTCACTATGTAGCCCAGGCTGTCCTGGAAATCGTGGCTTTCCCCTCTTCCTGAAGCTCCTAAATGCTGAGACTGTAGGTATGAGACTCCATGCCTGGCTGTTTATGTTTAGTGCCTGTTTTCTTCCTCTAACTGTTCTGTGGGAAGAGGGACTGTCCCTGCACTTTGTTTCTGCTCCTAAGTATAAATCTTTGAGTCTTGTACTCATCTCTGGTCACGTAAACGTGCTGTGTGTTGAACGTTGATCATAACTGAGTTCTATAAATGAGGGGGCCGAGGCTTAGAGAGAAACTGGGTTGTGAGGCGTGGGGCTTCAGCACCATCTAGGGAAAGGGTGGAACCAGCTATGGAAGGCTGGGAGAAGTGGATGTGGAACCTGAGGCTACCTTCTCACTCAACCTTTCACTATCTTCTGCCCAATAAAGTTCATAGTCCAGGAAACCCCTTGCCACTGCTCTTATCCATCCCTGAAGATAAGAGCT